AAGTATTATTTTATTCTATTTTCAAAATATTGGCAAGTATATTGTGAAAAAATTGTCTAGTTGGATATCATTCAAGTTGATGACCCTCTGATAAAGAAGAGGTAATTAATTCAAATTAGATGCCAAATAATACTGATTTTTAAGTTACTACATAAAGAATAATATTTACTCTACCAAAACAGTGAAATTTTATTTCATCAGCTTATTTTTTAAATTTAATTTTAATGTGAAAGTGATGTGCACTGTGGTTATAGTCATTGTAAGGTAGTGAATACATAACTTTTCAAACTTGTTATCCCCTCTCTCATTTTTCTCAGTTTTTCCTTCACCCTAATACCCCTCCCAAGTTGTAATGTACATTTCCAACTTATTGTCTTGTGAGAAATGCTATTGCATTGGTTTGCTGTTTGTCCTTTGTCTCGCCATTTTTTTTTGTTCCTGTTCCCTTCCCTAATTAAGGTAAATGTATACACAATACACAGGGTACCAAAATCAAACACAGCAGGGGATAAACCATAGGGGAACATCTCAAAGAAAATAGAGATCACATAGTACATCAAAAAAAGCAACCGCAAATAAATATCTGTTTCCATATCTTGGAGTTCATTTTGCTCAGCATCAGTTTATATGGTCAAATATATGCATAACAAAGCCCCTGGAAAATAGTAGTTTCATGGACACTATATCATGAAAACAACATGTCAACTGTTTTTGATGGTAAAGGTGGGATTAAGATTGGTGAATTCACGATTTTGATAAAGGAATTTCAAAAGATTTAAAAATTTATGACAGGTAAATTTTAATTGTTCAAACTTTTTAACAACTTAGCATATTAAGAAAATTTAACATTGTCTGGGAAAATAGGCTTTCATGCAAAGAAATCCATGGAGACTTAGCTGAGAGGGAGCAATGTGGGTGAATATGGCTCATTTTCACACTAAACAAACAAACCTCACAAACCTTGCTGTAAATCCTGTAGGTTCCCTTGAGAATTGTCCTTACCCAGGGAATATACTCTCACTGTGTAAAACAAAGTTGTAGTGGAATTTAAATTCAAAATTCTTTTTAAAAAAGACATCAAAATTTGTGAATTGACATTTAATAACCAAACAGCAATTCTCTGAAAAAGAAGGAAATATAATTCAAAATCACTTGACTTTATTAAAAGTAAGAGAAAAGAGTAATGAAGAGAGATGAGAGAAACCATAGAGGACTGTTTTCTCTCCGGTGGTGTAATGGTTTCTTGATCTTGATTCTTCCATTCTATCTTCATAAGCTATGAAGTCACAGCTCAGGACTGGAGTAACCAGTTTAGACAAAGAATACTCACAGAATGGGGGCTGGGAAAGTGGCTCAGTGGTAGAACGCTTGCCTTGCATGCTTGAGGCCCTGGGTTCAATTCCTGAGCATCACATAAGCAAAAAAAAAAAAAAGCCGGAAGTGGAGCTGTGGCTCAAGTGGTAGAGCGCTAGCCTTGACCAGAAGAGCTAAGGGACAATGCCCAGGCCCAGAGTTCAGGCCCCACGACCGGACCAAAAAAAAAAAAAAAAACACAGAAGAAAATATTAGCAGTAGATGTAGGTGATTTATAACCTTAGACAATCTATTTAAATCTCTTCAAAATTCTCCCCTACCCTAAACTGCCCTCTTTGAACAGCTTTGTTTACTTTTCCCAAGACTGCCCTCCATTAACTGTTTAAAATTTTGTGAGGTCATATACATACTTTCTAGAGATTGCTGTTTGTTTGTAATTTTTGTGTGTTTTTGTTTGTAGTTGTGTTTTTAACTGAATTTCAAAAGGTTGTGCAACTGTGTTACAATTAAATATGTCCATCTAATTGTCCAATGCTCTTGGATCAGAGTCACTCCTATCATTGTCAACCAACCCTTTCTCCATGATTTATTTCAGATTTACCACTTCCTTTATTACATGTGTACATTGAGTATTCTAGCTGTACTTGCCCCTTGTTCCATTTTTCATTCATTCTATGTCTTTACTATTATTCTTTTCTGGTTTCAACTTCCTGATATTCATTCTATTAAACTGTCTGTTAATACTTTGAAAGGTTTATATACATTTCATGGAGTTTCAATCCTACATATACTTAAACTGATGTCAGCATATACTTCCATAATTCATTCATCTGTAATTACAATTTGCAAGACTGGAGACGTGAAGCATCTAAACATGATTTTATTCTCATCTTTTTGGAAGATTAATCTTTAGTCAACAAGAAAGTTTAAAAATCTCTTAGAATTTATAGCTAACTACCAGTTTTTATAAATGGCTTTGTGCAATGGTGTGTGATTATTTTATTTTACATAGGATATTTTCTACTACCTATAAGTTTTGGAAAAAGAACAAAACTAAAATTTACTAGTATAGAGGAATATGATAGAAATAGAAGATAGATTTTAGGTTTGTCACATCTCTGATCAGTACCCATATTCAAGACTTAAAGTCATATTTATTACTATGTTAGACAGATAGGGAAAATATATGATAAGGCAACACATGATAAGGCAACTATTAGTGACTTTTTAAAATGTACCTTCTTATGTGATGAAATTTACTTTATTAGCTAATATTTGGGTTTGAATTATGGGAGGCTGATCTATTTAACACATTTCTGGAAGGCACCTACTGAACAACGCAAATGGTGGGAGATACTATTTCTACACTTTAATTAATGATTGAACTTATTTTGCATTAGTGCTGGGTAAATAAATCAACTCTATTGTAACTTGATTCCTACACTTGAAAAACTTTTAATGTCACTATCATCTACTTGTCAAGTGTTATTTTGGTGAATATGATTCTAGAAAGTTTATTTGAAAAGGAATATACTTGAAGGAGATTAAATGTAGGTTATCATTGGTTTGAGAATGACAACATTTTTATACTACAGAACCAAGTTTTACTGAAGTACCAGTGTTTTGAAGCACTAGGGTCTTCTCAATTAGTTTTTTTAAATTATATTTGACATCTAAGTCAAGTTTTCCTAGCTTTGGTAGAACAATTATGGATCTATCATTCCAGGAAATTTTTTGGCCTACTTATGCTGGACTGAAATCTTTCATTTATCATTAGCAGAGAGGTATTAAAAATAATCTTGTGACATTTGTGATTTTGTTTACTAATATGGGCTTGTCATCTCTAAATTGAAAGTTTGAACTACAGTACTTTCACTCATATTTTGTGATCTCCTCTTTCATTTGAAGTTGCCTTAAATTTCACAATTGCTTGCTGCTAATTACTGCAAGGAATTGGGGCCCTGAAATATTCTAGGAAATGAAAAATTGAGATGGGTCTTCAATTACATTCTGTTAGCATTTTGGATGGGCCAAGGTTAGAAGACTTGCCATTGTTATCTGATGATGCAGATAACCTGGGACCTGGTATCCTCGGACCCGTGGGTAGAAGAATAATAGCTTTTAGGCATAATATGGAGAAAAACACTTTGGGACCAGCGAGTTAATACAATAAACACAGCAGCAGTGTAAAATCTCTTCTAGATTAGAGGAAAACAATACTGATTTTTTTTTTTTTTTTTTACTATGTGAATTCAGAAGACCAAGAACACTTAGAAGGTATCACAAGTTTATACCAAAGACATTGCATTGATACTTTTTATATTCGAATATCTGTTCTAAACCTAATTATTTATGTTCCAATCTATTTATGGGAATAAATTTCAATTTATTTGTCAAATTATAAATTAATTCTAGTAAGATTTACTGTGTGAAATTTAAGATCAGCACATATAAATATAAAATATATAAGTATATATAATATAAGAAATTGTTATGCATTGTTCTGTTGTGGTTAAGGTATCAAAGGCAAACCTGTTTTAAAGTATTATTCCATTATCTCTACCTCAGTTTTTGGTAGAGTTAGACCTAAAGCTTTACCATTTGTAAATGTAAAGCCTGGAGGCAAGAGGAAACACTTTGATTTAAACATTACCAATTTAAGGCCTAATATCGAGGAGAAATATATAGACTTCTCCAGGAGCTATGAAAATATTTGGTGATGGAAAGTCAGTAGTGTAAGTTCCTGCCTGGTTGTATGGTAGACAGGCCAGGATATTAAGTAAACATGCATATGAACAATATTTTCACCTCCTTGGCTTTAGCTACTTTTGAAATAATAGGTAAAATAAATATTATATATATATATATATATATATATATATATATATATATATATATATATATATATATTGTTGTTTGGGTCCAGTCATGGGGCCTGAACTCTGGGCCTGGGCCCTGTCCCTCAGCTCTTCAGCTCAAGGCTAGTGCTCTACCACTTGAGCCACAGCACCACTTCCGGCTTTTTTCTTTTTCCTTATGTGGTGCTGAGGAATCAAACCCAGGACTTCAGGCATGCAAGGGATGCACTCTACCACTGAGCCAACTTCCCAGCCCAAACAATTATATTTTGATAAAATACCTTCTATTCTGAACAGTTCGGTCTGAAGTGTTCATCTCTCTATGATCCCTTGTAACTAAGATTAGTTTTGTTCCAGTAAGACAATCTATGCTGTCAGTGTAAGATATCCTGGTTGGTCTGTTCCTACATGGAAGAAGGGTAAGGGTCAGGAAGACATTTGTGCCACAGAGACCTCATTTAGGAAATTTTAAGCTGCAGAAGTTTAGAAGTGGATCTTAACCAAGGCTTACTTTGAATCCATTAGCTCCACAAAGATAACTCAGTTGATAAATAAGTACTTGAAAAGCCATCACCTTTGGACTTAGCTGTAAAAGCTTCAAAATATGATCAAATTTAAAATGAAAATGACAAAATAGTTATTGACAAAAAATTGCAAATGTGAGTAATCGACCAAACAATATAATTTTTTTCCACTATAGACAGAAATTTAGAGAAATAAGATCAATAGCATTTTTAGGAACAATAAGGGTTCCTTGTTACAAATAGGCAACCATGAATATGTGCCTGTATAAAGATTGCATCAATAACTACTTAAATTTAGAGGATACTACATGCTTCAGCAGGAGGTCTACCCAAATTACAACAATACAGAGATTAAAATGGTACGTGCACAAGGATGGTATGAGAATTTGTGAAGTATTCCATATTTTTCATTCTTCAAATGCAAGAAATGAAAAACAGTTGTTAAAAAGTTGATTACAAAAATACAAGTGTAACAATACATGTAATTCATAGAATTAAAGGTTAGTTTGACATCAGTGTATTAAATCTTCACCTTAGAAAGGCCCTTACATAGCATAACCTTTATAAAACTTGAAATTAGATAACATTGTCATTTTATCCCAAAGAAATAAAATTTAAACCATGCTCATAGGGGCTTCCGGGAAGATGGTGGAGGAGAAGCTGAAGGCTAAACAAGCTCTCGCATAGAAAGCAGTTTTAGAGTTCCAGTGAACAGTCCTAAGCCAGAGAATCACACCAAGTGTGCCATCACAGTACACAGAGTTAGGCCAGAGAGGGAAAATCCAGGCAAGGAGACAGATCTGAGCATTTGCCAGCAGCTTCGGCAGCAGCGGTGGCCATAGTTGCCATCCTGTAACACAGAGAGTCCAGGACAAAGGAGCCACATGCAGTTGGTGAGCAGATTCTACTCAACACCAGCAAGAACTGACAAGGAGCAGACATCTTCATCCTGCGGTTCACAGACCAGAGACGACCCAGGAACCAAGACTCGGTGAAAGTAGAAGCCTAACATCCTCACTCCTTCTCAGGGAGCAGAGGAGAGAAGGCCACCCCTCCCCCCCACAACCGGACATCTCCATCTTGGATACTGAAAAAGCTCAGTGGAGCTGCTAGCTCCAACTAAGGCTTTGGAAGAAAACTAGAGTCATTTAGCAGGTCACAAGAACCTAAATTGACCTGCCAGACTCAGCTTCACCCCGGAAATGTCACCCAGCTCAGGCGCAAGCCCCAGGAATGGCTTTCTTCACTGGGTAATCAGAGCCAGAGGCTGCCCCTCCCTTAAGCAGCCTTGACAATCAATTGAAATTCAGTAAACATAAACCCAGAGAGTGGCTCGAGCCTGGGCTCGTGAGTTTCTAACAAGCTAGCCCTCAGGAAAAGCTAATGTTTGCTGAAAAGCCTCAACTCTACCCAGAACCTAGCCTCATCACAGCATCTCCAAACGAGGAAAAAGCCATCTCCCTCTTTGTGATAATCAAAGCAGATCCCCCTCCGATTAAAGTAACCTGAGAGGAGGATCACAAAATCCTGGGTAAAGCAGAGCATTTTTTGGCCTGTTCAAACTGACTTAAGAAACCAACCAAGCCACAGGAAAATCAAACACCACAAGCAGATCAGAGACTCCAAGAGGCTGGTTACAGACACAAGGGAGATACAGGATTTTTCCCACCACTCCCAAAAAAATCAAAATATTTTTTCTTTTTTTTGTACATCTTATAAAAAAAATTTTCTAAAACTTTTTTTTAATTTTTAATTTTTACCTTTTTTGAAAATAAATGTTTCCTAGTAACTTTTTTTCCCTCTTATACTTCTTATTTTAGGGGTATATTTGTGTGTGCGTTTTTCTTTCTTTTTTCTTCTTGAAATTTTTTTTTTTGTTTTTTGTTTTGCTCTATTGAACTTCTGATCTTTTTTTCTTTCTTTCTTATCCTTTTCACCTTTTCTTCTCTTTCATTCTTTTTTATGTGACTTAATTGTTTTTCTACACATCCTCAGATATACCCATAGTCGATTATTAGACCTTCTCCTCCATTGTGTACACACTTAATCCACAAATTTATTACTCAGTTCAAAACCTCTTAGACTTAAATTCCTTGATAGCAGTACTACCTCTTTATACCTATATAATATTTTAGGTATTTTTATTTTTAAGTTTTTCACATCTCCTTTATATCCCTCCTCTTCCGCATTATATGCATGTTCTTCTCTCAATATTACGTTTTCGTATCTACATAATATTTTAATTTTTACTTTTCTATTTTTTCTGGTCTCTTTTTTCCCCTTTCTGTTTCTTCTTTTTTTTTTCTCTCTCTACTTTCATCCTATTCACCTATTTCCTGTTTTGAGATTAGGACTTAGTTAATTCTCCCTGTGCCTTCCCACATCTCTCTATTCCTATTTTTTACCCACATCTCTCCCTAAACCTAATAATTTCTGGCTTGCCAAATTTGCATTTGCGGTTTGTAGCCCATTAATATATAGTTGTTTGACGTTGAATAGATGTATCCATTGAACGAGATTGTATCTGCAGACTATTGACTGTGCAAATACAGACTTTGGTTGATGCTTGCCTTAAGTTAGAGTTCTAGCACAAAACTGGTGTTTCATTCATCCCAAATGGGCAGAACAAACCTGAAAAACACAGGAAAAATGGCAAGTCAGGGTATCTCAACTCCCACTCATGGTAATCAGGAGACAGAACAGATAATGAATAATCCAGAGGAGAGAAAAGATTAATCACCTATAAAGGGAAACCAATTAGAATCACCTCAGATTTCTCAGCAGAGACAATCAAAGCACGAAGAGCCTGGAATGATGTATGCCATGCCCTAAAGACAAACAACTATCAACCAAGAATACTGTACCCAGCTAAATTCTCCTTTATAACTGAAGACCAAATAAAAACCTTCCATAGCCAAGAAAAATTGAAACAATACATCTCCACCAAACCAGCCCTACAAAAGATTCTTAAAGATGTCCTACATATAGAAAACTAACAAGACCACAATAAAGGCCAAGAAAATGCACCCAAACTGAGAATCCAAGAAGATAGGAAGAACCCAGTTTACATAGACCCCAAGAAGGTAGATAACATGGCTAGAACTCCCAAATACCTCTCAGTCCTATCTCTCAACATTAACGGACTTAATTCTCCAATTAAGTGACATAGACTGTCTAGTAGGACTAAAAAGCAAGATCCTTCTATCTATTGCCTTCAGGAGTCACATCTTGCTGGTAAACACAAAAATATATTCAATGTTAAAAGCTGGAACAAAATCTACCAAGCAAATGGCCCCCATAAACAGGCAGGAGTTGCAATCCTAATATCAGATAAAATAAACTTCCAATTAAAATTTGTGAGAAGAGATAAACAAGAGGTAAAGAAGGTCACTACATATTAATTTTAAATATCTATTCGAAAAACAATGGAGCATCCAAATTTATCCACGAAACACTACTTTCCCTCAAATCCCACAGAGATCCGAAGACAATAATTGTTGGGGATTTTAACACACCACTCTCCCCACTAGATAGATCAAGTCGGAAAAACTCAACAGAGAAACCGCAGATCTAAACAACTGCATAGATCAAGTATATTTAACAGACATCTATCGAATATTTCTCCCAGCAGCATCAAAATACAAGTTTTTCTGAGCAGCACATGGAACATTTTCTAAAATAGACCACATTTTAGGCCACAATGCAAACTTGTCCAAATTCAGAAACATTGAAGTTATACCTTGCATTCTCTATGACTAAAAGGGAATAAAATTAGAACGCAACACCAAAAGCCCCCAAAGAAATTCCTGTAACACATGGAGGCTGAAGAACACACTGTTGAATAATGAGTGGGTCATGGAAGATATTAGAAAGAAAATCCAAATGTTCATGCTATTCAACAAAAATGAGCACACAAATTACCATCTCATCTGGGACACAGCAAAGGCAGTACTCAGAGGCAAATTTATACCTTTGAGCTCCTACATCAACAAATTGGAGAGATCTGAAACCAACAATTTAATGAGATATCTGAGCCTCCTTGAAAAAGAGCAGCAAGATATACCCCAATATAATAGATGGAAAGAAATAATTATTTTAATTAATTAATTAATTAAAATTAAAATTAAATCAATATTAAATGAATTAGAATTCAAAAAAACTATTGGAAAAAATAAAAAAAAAACAAAGAGTTTGTTGTTCGAAAAAACTAACAAAAGTGACAGGCCCTTCACAAATCTTACCAGAAAAAGAAGAGAACACACCGAAATAAATAAACTCAGAAATGAGAATGGAAACATCACCACAGAAACAACCAAGATTCAGGACATTATAAGGGAATACTTCTCAAAACTTTATGCTAATAAGTTTGAGAACTTGGTAGAAATGGACCTTTTCCTAGCAAATATTGACATGCCAATACGAAAGCAAGATGAGTTAAACCATCTTAACAGGCTCATATCAAGCATTGAAATAGAAACAGCAATACGAGACCTCCCATATAAGAAAAGTCCAGGTCCAGATGGTTTACAGCAGAATTCTACAAGACCATTAAAAGCAGAGCTCACAGCAATACTACTCCAAACCTTCAGTGAAATTGAACGAGAAAGTTCACTACCGTACACATTCTATAAAGCCATCATAACTCTCATCCCAAAATCAGGCAGGGAATAATCAAAGAAAGAGAACTATAGACCCATTTCTTTGAGGAACATTGATGCAAAACTTCTCATCAAAATTTTGGCCAATCGTCTTCAACAATGTATCCAGAAAATCATACACCACAATCAAACAGGATTCATTTCAGGGATGCAAAGCTGGGTCAATATTCCCAAATCAATTAATATAATTCATCTCATCAAGAGGAGCAAGGATAAGAACCACATGGTTATCTCAATATATGCAGAAAAAGCATTTGACAAGATACAACACCCCTTTATGTTGAAGGTTCTGGAAAAATTAGGAATTATGGAACATTCCTCAATATAATAAAGGTTATATATTACAAACCTACAGCCAGCATTATACTTACTGGTGAAAAACTAAAGCCATTTCCTCTTAACTCAGGAACAAGACAAGGATGTCCACTATCACCACTTCTCTTCAATCTAGTATTAGAATTCCTGTCCACAGCAATAAGACAAGATGCAAACAAAGGTGATACAAATAGAGAAAAAAGAAATAAAACTCCCCCTCTTTGCAGATGACATGGTCCTGTATTTAAAGAATCCCATAGACTCCACTCCCAAATAATCAAGTTGATTCAAAACTTTGGCAAAGAAGCAGGGAATAAAATTAACCCCCCAAAATCAATGGCTTTTCTGTATGCCAACAATGAGAAAAGTGTGGCTGAAATTAGGAAAACAACTCCATTTGTAATAGCCCCACAAAAAATAAAATACCTAGGAATT